GTCACATTTGCTCTGTGGTGGCCTCTTTGCCCTGCCTGCCGTTTAGTCGTCAAAATGCCTGGAATAGTGCGCTTTTCTTTTGAAGGCCCTACCTGGTCCTGCTCCAGTAAACGTGTGAGGAGCCCTGCATGCCGAATGACGAGTTACTCAGAAATCAATGCACATTGGCACTGCCTTGTATTGACATTCTGCTACTTTCTGGCAAGGCCGTTTTCTTTTTTTTTTTTGTTTTTTACATTATTTTCTCTTTGGCCCGGGCAGCACCAAGCAGAAGACTTGAGGTTCCATGGTGTAATGGTTAGCACTCTGGACTCTGAATCCAGCGATCCGAGTTCAAATGTTTTTTTACCAGCACCGCACAAAAAAAACTGGAATAGCATTCTTAAGAAAATGACAGTTACTCTGAGCTTTTTAGCAAACATGGCAGAAAGTGGCCGGTTAGCTCAGCTGGTTAGAGCGTGGTGCTAATAACGCCAAGGTCGCGGGTTCGATCCCCGTACTGGCCAATCTTTTACCCTTTAAGGCCTCAGAGGCATTTCAGGATTCTGCTTAGTCTCACAGACACGAATGCTGCAGGATTCTTGTGAAAAGGCAGGCGAAATTGCTCAGTTGGGAGAGCGTTAAACTGAAGATCTAAAGGTCCCTGGTTCGATCCTGGGTTTCGGCAAAACAGTGATGTTGTTCTATTTTGTGCACAAGGGTCAGGTGACTGAAAGTCACCCAAAAAGCCTAGCTGCTTCACCCTTAAGTCCACCTGCTTCCACTTGACCAAAACACTATCTTCCTCCCAGATGGTCACGTTGCTTCTGGCGATCATTCCAATGGCCTGATCGACAGCACTCTATAATGCTATGTATTTAGCGCTTTGATGTCCCACTGCGGACACGCTGCTGAATAAAAGAAAACTGTGACTTGATAGGGCTTCTGAAGGGTTGCAATGATATGTACTACACAGAAACCGGCAAAGCTGACGTAAGTAGTTTCGCTTTTAACCCTCAAGGTGCCACCAGCTTTGCAATAAAAGCCAATGTAAAAAGGCATGAAAACAGAGGTGGAGAATGCAGTCATTGTTCCCGCTACCTCTCCCATGCAAAGCGAGCGCTTAACCATGAGCTAATTCCCCTCAAAGCAATCAATAATTGGCGATTTTCCACGTGGTCAAAATAGAAAAAAAAGATCACATTTGCTCTGTGGTGGCCTCTTTGCCCTGCCTGCCGTTTAGTCGTCAAAATGCCTGGAATAGTGCGCTTTTCTTTTGAAGGCCCTACCTGGTCCTGCTCCAGTAAACGTGTGAGGAGCCCTGCATGCCGAATGACGAGTTACTCAGAAATCAATGCACATTGGCACTGCCTTGTATTGACATTCTGCTACTTTCTTGCAAGGCCGTTTTCTTTTTTTTTTTTGTTTTTTACATTATTTTCTCTTTGGCCCGGGCAGCACCAAGCAGAAGACTTGAGGTTCCATGGTGTAATGGTTAGCACTCTGGACTCTGAATCCAGCGATCCGAGTTCAAATGTCGGTGGGACCTTGTTTTTTTACCAGCACCGCACAAAAAAAGCTGGAATAGCATTCTTATCTCTTGAAGAAAATGACAGTTACTCTGAGCTTTTTAGCAAACATGGCAGAAAGTGGCCGGTTAGCTCAGCTGGTTAGAGCGTGGTGCTAATAACGCCAAGGTCACGGGTTCGATCCCTGTACTGGCCAAACTCTTACCCTTTAAGGCCTCAGAGGCATTTCAGGATTCTGCTTAGTCTCACAGACACGAATGCTGCAGGATTCTTGTGAAAAGGCAGCTGAAATTGCTCAGTTGGGAGAGCGTTAAACTGAAGATCTAAAGGTCCCTGGTTCGATCCTGGGTTTCGGCAAAACAGTGATGTTGTTCTATTTTGTTCACAAGGGTCAGGTGACTGAAAGTCATCCAAAAAGCCTAGCTGCTTCACCCTTAAGTCCACCTGCTTCCACTTGACCAAAACACTATCTTCCTCCCAGATGGTCACGTTGCTTCTGGCGATGATTCCAATGGCCTGATCGACAGCACTCTATAATGCTATGTATTTAGCGCTTTGATGTCCCACTGCGGACACGCTGCTGAATAAAAGAAAACTGTGACTTGATAGGGCTTCTGAAGGGTTGCAATGATATGTACTACACAGAAACCGGCAAAGCTGACGTAAGTAGTTTCGCTTTTAACCCTCAAGGTGCCACCAGCTTTGCAATAAAAGCCAATGTAAAAAGGCATGAAAACAGAGGTGGAGAATGCAGTCATTGTTCCCGCTACCTCTCCCATGCAAAGCGAGCGCTTAACCATGAGCTAATTCCCCTCAAAGCAATCAATAATAGGCGATTTTCCACGTGGTCAAAATAGAAAAAAAAGATCACATTTGCTCTGTGGTGGCCTCTTTGCCCTGCCTGCCGTTTAGTCGTCAAAATGCCTGGAATAGTGCGCTTTTCTTTTGAAGGCCCTACCTGGTCCTGCTCCAGTAAACGTGTGAGGAGCCCTGCATGCCGAATGACGAGTTACTCAGAAATCAATGCACATTGGCACTGCCTTGTATTGACATTCTGCTACTTTCTGGCAAGGCCGTTTTGTATTTTACATTATTTTCTCTTTAGCCCGAGCAGCACCAAGCAGAAGACTTGAGGTTCCATGGTGTAATGGTTAGCACTCTGGACTCTGAATCCAGCGATCCGAGTTCAAATCTTGGTGGGACCTTGTTTTTTTACCAGCACCGCACAAAAAAAGCTGGAATAGCATTCTTATCTCTTGAAGAAAATGACAGTTACTCTGAGCTTTTGAGCAAACATGGCAGAAAGTGGCCGGTTAGCTCAGCTGGTTAGAGCGTGGTGCTATTAATGCCAAGGTCGCGGGTTCGATCCCCGTACTGGCCAAACTTTTACCCTTTAAGGCCTCAGAGGCATTTCAGGATTCTGCTTAGTCTCACAGACATGAATGCTGCAGGATATTTGTGAAAAGGCAGATGAAATAGCTCAGTTGGGAGAGCGTTAGACTGAAGATCTAAAGGTCCCTGGTTCAATCCCGGGGTTGTAAAACGGTGCCGTTGTTCTATTTTGTGCACAAGGGGCAGGTGACTGAAGGCCCTACCTGGTCCTGCTCCAGTAAACGTGTGAGGAGCCCTGCATGCCGAATGACGAGTTACTCAGAAATCAATGCACATTGCCACCGCCTTGTATTGACATTCTGCTACTTTCTGGCAAGGCCGTTTTATAATTTTTTTATTTTTTTTTTCTTTAGCCTGGGCAGCACCAACTGGAAGACTTAAGCTTGGCAGTAAGTGGTCGGTTAGCTCATACTGCCACCTGTAAGTCGTGGTTATTCTTGGTCACACCGGCCAATCACTTTGTGAGCTGGAACCAAGATTCACCCTATTCTTGGTTAAGGCAGCCAATCGTGTTCTGAGTTACAATGAACGCTATGGCCAATCAGAGCCCTTATACCATCCATGATTTGTACTGTAATAAAAGATTTCGTTGCGGATTAATTCGGAAACCAATTGCAAAGTAAGTATTTTTTTAACAAGGTGGTTTAAATGAATAACCATTACAGTAACGTTAATTACTACAACATAATTATTATATGATTGTTATAGATGTTTTATAACGTTATTTGGTAAGATTAATGTTAGCCGACCAAGCAAACTGTACAGTTTTACTACAAACATTTTAATGCAGTTATTAATTAATTAATATGGATCATGCATGATTGCATCACTAATAATAAACCAACAATATAAGGGTCACACATCAATCCATTACTAATAATAATGTTATTATTATTAGTGATGGATTAATTTGTGACCCTTATATTATTGGTTTATTATTAGTGATGCAATCATGCGTGATCCATATTGTTTTATGCTTTATAATTAGTGATGTATTATGCGTGAGCATTATTAGATTAGTTTATAATTAGTGATGTAGTGATATGTGAGCGTCATTATACTATTTGTTTATAATTAATGACTGATGAATTGAGCCTTATATTTATTATTAGTGAAGTGATTCATTAATGTGTGAGAATAATGCACTGGCATTATTGTAACTATGGTAGTAAATGACAATATAAAGTGAAGTAATGTATAATAACTGCATTAAAATGTTTGTAGTAAAACTGTACAGTGTGCTTGGTCGGCTAACATTAATCTTAACAAACAACGTCATATAACATCTATAACAATCATATAATAATTGTGTTGTTGTAATTAATGTTACTGTAATGGTTATTCATTTAAACCAACTTGTTATAAAAATACTTACTTTGTAATTGTTGTCCAAATAATCCACAACGAAATCTGTTAATACAGTACAAATCATGAATGTTATAAGGGCTCTGATTGGCCATAGCGTTCATTGTAACTCGGAACATGATTGGCTGCCGTAACCAAGAAGAGGGTGAATCTTGGTTCCAGCTCGGGACAAGATTGGCCAGCGTAACCAAGAATTAAAAAAAATCTTGGTTCTAACTCGGACCGTGATTGGCCGGTGTAACCAAGCATAACCACGAATTACAGGTGGCAGTATGCGCCACTGGCCCAGTCTGCGTCAGCAGTGCTCATTAGCATGCTGCTTGGAAAGAGGACACGGCTCGGTCAACATGCAGTTCCTTCAACGCTTGCTGTGCTTTCTTGTCATGGCAAGTTGTGGTGTCGATAGGATGCTCTAACACAGAGCATGTGACAGTCCCTCCCAAGAAGAACTGTGATCCAGGCTCTGAGACTTTCTCTTCTCCAGGAGGAGGTTGCAAATGTTATTAAAGAGTTATTTTTGTCAGAGCAGCTGCAGCACACCTGGGTGGAAGCCCACAGCTAGGCTTAATGGTCTAGCCTGGTGGTCTAGTAATTAGGATTCGGCGCTCTCACCGCCGCGGCCCGAGTTCGATTCCTCGTCAGGGAACTTCCTTTTCACCTCCATGGTGAACTTCGAGCAGTGGTGCCGATGATATCTTCGCAAAGGCAAGAAAGCGGCTCTGAGCACAAAATACATCCTTTGAGCTGGACTCGAACCTGCGACCTAAGAATTGGTCCTACAGTCCTACACTCTACCAACTGAGCTATCAAAGTCTTACATAGCAGTTCCACAACCACACCCTATAAGGTAGCTGCAGTCCGACCGCTGGCCAAAAAGGACAGGAGCAAAAGTACTTAAGCCTTCCCATACCGGGAGTCAAACCCGGGTCACCTGGGTGAAAATCAGGAATCCTAACCGCTAGACCATATGGAAATTGCCACTTTTAAAACCCAGTCTTGGCACAAACTCCAGTTCTTTCTGATCGCTGGCACGTCCCTGCTCCGCTTGAACAAGTGCCACTCATACACTTACGCATTCTCTCATACACAGTTTCTTGGTTTCCATAACCGAGAAACTTCTGATCCATAGTCATAAGCGCTATCCTTTGTGCCACTCTGTTCAGCACTTTGTTAGCACATTGCTTGAAGCAAGGACAAGGCTCTGTCAACCCGGAGTTCCTTCACCACACATTCTGCTTTGTTTTTTTATGGCAAGAGGTTGTGTGATTGGGATGTTCTTACAGGATTCCTGACAGTCCCTCCATGGAAGACCTGAGATCCAGGGTCGGAGACTCTCTCCTCTCCAAGAGGAGGTTAAAAGTCTTTTGTGTCTCTGTGTCAGAGCACTTAGGTGTTGCTGCAGCTCAGAGACCTACAAGTGGAGGAGATTACACTGCAAGTTGGCTGGATGACCTCTAAGGGGTCAGCAGTTATGCCACACGTAGGCTGGGTTTGCGATTGATGTAGCTGTAGTAGACATTCATAAAAATAAATAAAAATAAAACTGGTTACTCTGAGGTTTTGTTTAGGGTTGGGGTAGGTGTAAAATTGAATAAAACATAGCGGGTTACTGTGAGGTTGGGCCTAGGGCTGGGGTAGGTGTGATTTTAATAAACTGCAATAGGTTGTATTCTGTGCCATGTACAAGACATTGAATCAATGAAACCCACATGGAGGTTTGTTACTGTGAGGTTGGGTTAAGAGTTGTGGTAGGTTGTGTTGTAAAATAGCAATCAGTTTTTTATTATTATTGTCTCTTTTTCTTTTAATCAAACAATTATTTGTATTGGTCATGTAAGGGTCATATATTAACTGAACTTCTAATGTTGTGGGTGAGTGCTGTGCATACTAATTAGCTTTTTGGCAGAAGTAGATACATGCGGGTCCAAAATTAAATTCAGCTCTGCAGAAACTTCCTGTCTGAAGAGAGGTGTTAAAACTGAACACAAAACATAGAAAGATGTATACTTTGTTGTTGGGCAGAGAATTCGTAGAAAAAGAGGAAGTATGTCGAAGGTGTGGCCAATGGAGGACTGAACAATGACTGACAAGTGACGTTACACCAAAACTCCACCTGTTAAGATCGGTTGTGTATATATGCTGAAGTCAGGAAATGTATGTTTGTTGCGAACCTCTTGAATGTAATTCTTGTATTGCATTGGGGTAATGTAACCCAGAGCTCTGTCATCGAATTATTCATTTGTATCCAATAAATTGTTACGATTTTTGACATTGAAGAAAAACCTCTCCAGACCTTTTCTCTTGAACACGCATGGAATAGAGATAGAAATTCCAACAATATGTTAAAATATATTTGAAAAATATTATATACATAGAGAGAGAGAAAGACAGAGACATTAAACCGATGAGATAGAAACTAGAAAAATAGTTGCACTTGTAACACTTTGAGGAAGTAACACTTTGAGGAACTGAGATTTGATGTGAGAGGACAAGATTGAGTTTAGGTGCAAAAACTAAATAGAATAATAATATTAGTAATAATAATGATTAAAAAAAAAATAAAAAATTGTTATGGCTTACACTGGCTGTTTTCATCTATGAAAGTTAGCTGCATAAGACTATCTAAGCCATCATCTAGGGTCAAAGAAAAATCATGGACACTTAGTGGATGTGGATGAACAAGATGAAGTGAGTTTAATTTTTCTAAATTTAAAAAGGATAAACACCAAGAAAGAAATCGATAATTAAACATTGCATTTCAGATATAAAAATATATATTAAACAAACATGAGGGGTCAAGGCCTAATATGAACCCTGAGATATAGCAATAATGTTGAACAATTTTATCACATGGTAGGCCATGTCATAATTTGTGTTTTATAATAACCCAACTGTGTCTTGTTTTTTAGTCTCCACCATCATAGTGCCCTACAGCTTTGCCTGCAGACTAAGCAGACCATAGTGCTGAGTGGATGGGAGTGAAGATGCCAAACTTTACTTAAAACTATTATTGGAGGTCAAATTTATTTTAAACTTAATAAAACCTGTCTCATTGGTTAAACTCTAGAATGTGGTCACAATGGCTCACATGGTTCTTCAGTGCATGTTTCCCTAACATCAGAGATACCAAGTTCTGAAGGAAAACTGAGAAGGAGGTTGCAGTGGAGAAGAGCAGTAACTGGTCTCCATGAGACATTATTCCAAAGACGGGTAAGACTCTCGTTGGCCACCGGGAGCGACCTAAGCCAGGAATTTTGTTGCGGAAGACTAGGCACCTGTACAGGTAGGCAGGTGTTGAGTGAGATCGTTGTGGAGTGGAGCAGTGATGCTTGAAAGGCCTAGAGCATCCGAGTATTGAGGGGCACTGTGAAAGATCAGTAGTCTGCCTCAGAAATGTGGGCTCCTCCAAACTGGACCACAGCGAACTGCTAAATATGTCTGGAGATCAGACACTCAGAAAAAGGAACTTGTGGGTAAAGTAAGAGGCAGGGTGCTGTCAAGAACCATTTGAGACCATATGATGACTGGTAATATGAGGGAGACAGAATTTATTAAGGTTTTGTTATGAAAATAATAACTAAGAAAAAGGCTTAGAGGAAAATATACAATGAATCTCTAAATGTATAATGTTGAAATGATATTTAACTATTTTTGCAAATTTTCATAGGTTTACTGATACAGGGCATGAACAGGATATAGGAGGAAGTACAATGTATGGTGGTGACTAAAGAAGAAGAAACAACTATTGGTAACTGGAAGTCATTTGAAGTATAAATTTTGATGGAATTGATTATTTTAGTAAAGATTTACTAAAAGCAAAATATTATGTTGAATCATCTAAATTAAGATGGGATATTAAAAACTAGAAAAGGTTGGTAACAGAAAATTTTTTATGCGTAAAGAAGAAATTGAAACATGAAAAATTGAACTCAAGTCATCGGGTAAAAATTAATAGTTCTAATCTGATAAAAGAATTGAAACATAATAAGAGAGTTTAAGAAAACAGATTTTCTTTCACATGTAACCATGTGAAGAAGTTTAATGATGAAGTCAAAATACAGCTGAAAGAAACGGATGAGAAAATGTAGTGATTTTTAGTTAGCTTATAAAAGTATATAAAAAGTGTATGGGCAACTAGTTGAACCGAAATGACGTAGAACTAATTAGTAGCCAAAAGAAAATCATAAAAATGATTAGAACAAACTAAGTAATAAATAGTTAAGAAAATTAATTATCAAAAGTAGTGTCAAATTCAAAAACTGATTGATTATTAGTGAAATACTTAAATGGAGGATTATAAAATTAGCCAGCGTAGTGAAGAGGTAGTATGTTGTTGAGCAATTAAGAGAAATACCTAGACAAGGTCATCTGGATTATGTTTTAGACATTTTATTTAAGCTAAATTTTAACTGAGTTATAAACATAGATGTGACTAACTTAATTTGAATACAATTTTACAAGTAAGCAACAAACAAAAGAAGATTGTGTTTAGTTTATGATTTAGAAGCAATTAAGGAGAAGAGATTTTAAAGCTGAGGTTAATAGTGTATGCAGAAATATGGTCATACTGATGAAAAAATGTAAAGTGATTGATTTTTGAATTATCAGAGAGAGTGGTGTTTATTTAGCATGTTGATGAAATTTTACTTGCAGAAAAAAGTGGACAACTAATAGATTAGAAGTAAGCAGTTGTTATAAAATTTATATGGAACTAGATTTAAAGGAAGTAAATAAAAATTATAGGTGATTAGATGACACGCCTCAATATTAGGATGAGTGCTGTCTGAGAAAAGTGGAGTCAGATTGCTAAATAAATAAGCCATTTTTAATAGCCGTATACTGGTGACTGTAAAAGACATGGTAATAAGACTTAAATTATATTTAGAGGTATCAGAAACTGCAAGAGAAGAATGAGGGTGAGGTTACAATTGATTATAGAGATATGGGAGAACAGGCGAATAAAATATATATATATATCTGCTAGTCATGATTGACAGCTATACTGGATGGCTGGAGGAGTGGCCAGCAAGCAAAGAGGACAGTCAGACAGTAATGAAGTGTTTAATGAAAGACGATCTAGAAACAAATAGATGTTGAGTAAGAATTAGAGTGGATAATAATAAACGCTGAAATAATGAATATTTGAAATTGCAGCAAGTAATGGGCCTGAAGCATGAATTTAGGGAGGGTGTAAAACTAATAATTACAGGGAAAGGTAGAGAAAATTGATACAAATTTAAAAACAATTGGCAAAAATCTGTGCACAGACCAAACTGAATTGGATAAAAATCATATTGGAGGTATTAGATCATTATGGAACAAAACGATGGAATTAATGACTCTTGAATTGTTTACAGGACTGCAGTTTTAGGGACCTGGTGCAGCTTGGATGTGCAGTAGCTTACTTATGTAGAGATTATATAATGACAAATTAACAACCTTATTCCCGATTTTTTCTAAACAGGTTGCTGAAGGTGTGAGGCTGGCCGGATTAACTTGACAGTCAACATAGGGGTGTAAAAACGGCCTGGAGCTAGGCCCAGGCCGAAAGAGGAATAAAACAGAAAAAGGGGATATCTGATATCTAATTGGAGTGTGTAAGCATGTATTGGTGTGGGAGCTGAACACGCTGCAACAACAAGGCCAACTGTAAATTAGATACAGGCCAACACAAAAAGGGGAACCAAAAACCACATTAAATTCTAAAATAGAAAGAGAAATAAGACTGATTTACTAGCATATGACAATCTGACAGAAAGTGTGTGACTAAGTGTGTATGGACGTTTCCCAGAGATGGGTTGCAGCTGGAAGGG